GCTCGCCACCGAAGCGGCAGCGTCTGTACATACCAGTCCACCAGGCGCGGTGACACTGGCAGTGGCCACTGCAGTATTCGGATGTCAACCTGCCTCAAGGCTGGTATCTATATCCGTAGCGGATCTCGATTCCGACAGTGCCACGCATGCCGCGGGCGCACGCCGAGGACGTTCGTCAGCGTCGCGAGGCCCTCACTCCAGAGCAGCGGCGGATGTTTGCCTACGCACGAGACTCCCCCAACTGGGAGCGCTGGTTCGCGCTAGAGCACGAGGAGGAGCGCCGCCAGGGTGTCCACGTCGACCACGACATCCCTCCGCCGCCGCCTGAGGTTCAGCCGCACGAGAAGGATGAAGAGGAGGCGTACCAAGCCGCCCTCGAGCTAGCCCTGCAGTAGGTGTTGGAGGCGAGCAGGCTCGAGGAGGAGGCCCAATGGGATGGGATGGACCGCGCCCTCGCCTAGTTGGCGGCAGGGGACTCTGTCCTCGCCTCCGCCACCCATCATCGAGCCCAAGCCAGAGCCGAAGCCGACGCGGAAGCGCTCGTTGCCTCCACCCCTACACGTGGGCCGGCGCGTACTACGAGTGGGTGAGCACACCTTCGGTCCATGACGCTGCGACACCGGCAGAGGAGGCGACCGACCTTGGGCGCTGGAAGGCACACTGGCTCGCTCAGGAGGCGGCCGACGGCGAGCGGCGGATGCATTGGTAGCAGCTGATGCGCCGCGACGCAGAGGCGCCGCGGCTTTGGGAGGAGGAGGAGGAGCGTGCCCGGCTAGCCACAATGTTGGCGCCCCAGCATACGCCGGAGGAGGCTGCCCCGGCAGCGTACCAAGCGACGTTCGGGTGGGCTGGCCCTACTCCCGTCTTCATCGACCTCACCAGCGCCGACGGCGACGTCAAGGGCAAGGGAAAGGCGGAGGACGTCTAGGGCAGCGTGCATGCGGCATATTTTTTTATGTTTTTATTAATGTTTATTAATGTTTAAAAGGTTTAAGTGGACATTGGCCGGCGGTTGACCGGCCACTTTAATGTTTAATTATGTTTATTTCCGCAACCTTTTTTTGTATGCCGATAGATTTGGGACCGCCTCCCGTTGGGCGGTCAAGCCGACCCATATGAAAATGCGGACGCGCATGTCCGCCTGGCTGACCAAAATGGACGAAAAGCGGATAAACCACGCACCCATTTGGGTCGCCTTGTTGGAGTTGCTCTTACATGACACGACACATATGTGACTCCTCATTATGGATAGTCTAACCCATGCTGAAAACTGCGTTCTTGAGTATAGCTTAGAGCATCTACAACTGCATTGGGCAAATCCAACCCTCAAACGCCCGCGGACGCGCCCGAGCGCGTCCGCGGGCACTGACCGGGCACACCTCATATTTCCTTCTCACACTCGCGTCTCTCATATTTTAAACCTCAAAACCATGCAATTCACGCAACACTACATAATACACATGATCATAGCGCACTTCATCGGATTAGCCGGACAAAAGGAACATGATTCATCGGAGTTCAACGATAGATAGTCCAAATCCGAGGAAGGGCAGAGGAAATCACCATTTCCTCGCTGTCCCCTTCCCCTTTCGGCTGTCGGCGCTGCTATGCCCCTCCTCCGTGTAGGCATCAGCGTGCGGAGGCGCGTCGTTGTTGGAGCTGGAGGTGGAGCCCTCTGTCATATCCGAGTCGGAGTCGCACCTCATGCCCGACAGCCTGCGGAGCAGGCAGTCCTGCTCCTTGGCATGGCGGGCCGCCTTCACCTTTGTCGCCGCCTCCTTTGTTGCTTCGCGCTCTAACAACTCGATGGCGAGTCAGAGTGCCTTGGCATTCTTGCGGCGGAGGCACCGTGCATCCGTCTCCACCGTCGTGAGTGAGCGGCGGAGGACAGAAGCAAGGAGTGTTGCCTTAGTATCGACCGACGTGCTTGATGACAGCTGGAATTACGTTGGTATTTCCCCGGAGAGGGAGGAATGATGTAGCACAGTGACAGTAGAGTATTTCCCTCAGTTATGAAACCAAGGTATCGAACCAGTAGGAGAACCAAGCAACACAACGTAAATAACACCTGCACACAAATAACAACACCTCGCAACCCGACGTGTTAAGGAGGTTGTCAATCCCTTTCGGGTAACGGCGCCAGAAATTGGTGTGTGACGGTAAAAAGGTTGTAATAGATTGGATACATAGATCACAAATAAAATAAAGTGCAGCAAAGTATTTTTGTATTTTTGGTTTAATAGATCTGAAAATAAAAGCAAGGAAAAAGTAGATCGCAAAGGCAAATATATGAGAAATAAGACCCGGGGGCCGTAGGTTTCACTAGTGGCTTCTCTTGAGAAAAATAGCAAATGGTGGGTAAACAAATTACTGTTGGGCAATTGATAGAACTTCAAATAATTATGACCATATCTAGGCAATGATCATTACATAGGCATCAAATCCAAGATTAGTAAACCGATTCCTGCCTACATCTACTACTATTACTCCACACATTGACCGCTATCCAGCATGCATCTAGTGTGTTAAGTTCATGGAAAAATGGAGTAATGCAATAAGAACGATGACATGATGTAGACAAGATAAGTTTATCTATATGGCGGTAGATATAGATCTCGTCTTTTTATCCTTAGTAGCAATGATACATATGTGTCAGTTCCCTTTCGATCACTGGGATCAAGCACCGTAAGATCAAACCCACTATCGGGCACCTCTTACCATTGCAAGATAAATAGATCGAGTTGGCCAGACAAAACCCAAATATCGAAGAAGAAATACGAGGCTCTAAGATATCATGCATAAAAGAGATCAAAGAAACTCAAATGCTTTCATGGATATAAAGACGTAGATATGATCATAAACTCGAAGTTCATCGATCCCAACAAACACACCGCAAAAGAGTTACATCATATGAATCTCCAAGAGACCATTGTATTGAGGAACAAGAGAGAGAGAGAGAGAGAGAGAGAGA